GGGCGTTCTGGTCGCCGCAACACACGGTGGCACTGGGCTTCTGCTTTTCGTCGTTCGAGGTGCACAGATCTTAGGAAACAGAAACGTCAACATGAACGGTAGGAGATGCTGCAAGAAATGCACATAAGCAGCTCCATAAACTTTCTTTCCAATGATTACCAATTTTCTTTTTTAAAGTTTTCTCACCTCAAAACCCCTTCAGCTCATAAATCACAAGAATTTTAACAACCGACCTACTGGAAAGCTCAATTTCAAGATTTCTTCAGGTGTTTTCTTCTTACAAATGGGCTAAAAGTTCCTCTCGTTTCACATCACGGCAACTCAGCAGGACCATGAGAGCAGGCATGGGTGGACGTCTCCACGCTCATGTTCCTAAGAGCTGGCACAACCCTCCACAGAGCGCGTGCCAGGTACCCTCGCACCAAGCAGCCACGTTTTTCACCGTTTCCAATGCCCAACGTGCACAAAAAGATCTGAGGGGCTGAAGTATTTTAACCAAAACCCCAAATCAGAACGAGAAAACTTGCTGCCAAACCCACTCCCACTCACTTCTGTCCCTGAGCACGAGCGTCTTCTTCTCCCGCTTGCCGCTCTCGCGCACTTTGCTCCGGGTGACGGGCACGCCGTGCTCGGCGGGGTGGCGAGGGTTGTGCGGTGCTGCTGAGGAGTGGGGGAGCGGCGCAGGGGCGGCTGCACCCCCAGACACTGGAAGTCTGACATGGTCGTACCTGTGAAAGGAGAAAGATGAAAGAAGTTGCAAATATTTAAAGAAAATAAAACCAAAGAGCTACTTTTTTCCTTTTTTTTTTTTTTTTAAAGGATCATTCCCATGAGTCGACTGAACCTGTCTCTTTCGAAGCCGGACTAAAAGGTTTCTCAGTCTCAGAAACTGGATGCCTCTCAAAGCACGCCTCTATGTTCTTCTCCAGGGACAGCCAGCACAGCTCAAGGAACATTATTCATACGCGAATTAAATTAGATCCTCATCACCCCTTCACACAAACAAAAGGTTTGCTGGTGTTTCTCAGAGAAGCAACGTCAAAACAGCGAGCGGGAAGGAGCCTGTCAAGAATAAAAATCTCAGCAAATATCAGAGTTCGGGTTTTGACTAGTATTGAGGCAAGGGTAGGGTTTAGTTTTATGTCGAACTGTATTTTTCAATCACAGAGTCCTTGTCTTGAAATACTTGTAATTTCAAATTAAAAGGAAGGTGTGGACTGAGTAGGAGAAATGAGAGGTGATTTCAAACAGGAATCTGGAGGTAGAGGAAAGAGGTTGTTTAGAAAAACACCAGCATTGCCTCCGTAGAGTAACATTCCACAGGCCCATTTTTTCCTTCATTAGACCATATCCCTGACCAAGTATGTGTAAATTTTTACACCTCTTCTTTTAATTACCACTGTACGTGCTAGGAAAACATTTTTTAAAAAGATTTAAAGAAAAGCAAGTGCTTTCCTAGGGGAAAAGAACCTGTCAACTTTCAAGTGCTTTATTCTGTAGAATTTTCCAGCTGCCACGTTTCAGGTTTTCTCCCCAGACCTACGGGAGCATGACAGAATAAGGCTTTGCTCTAAGACAGAACTAGAATTCCTCAAAACTGTGCACTAGGACCTGCGGAAGGGCTGCATCGGGAGACACGAACGAAGCACTGCTGACACACGTCCTGCTGCCAGCCACGGGACCATGGGGAAAGCAAAACGGCCACACACCATCCCATGTGAAGTTACAGGCTCTGGTTTTCACACCCGACTGTAGCAGGACCCTTCAGACACGTGAAGCCTAAAGATTAACTTCTGCAGACGAGAATTGCTGCTAAAGTCAAGATCCATTAGCTGGTTTTGTTGCTAGGAGAAAACGCTCCTATTTAAAATGGCTGGACTAGGTGATGTTTCGAGGTCCCTTCCAACCCCTATCATTCCGTGATTCTGTGAATATATTCAGTTTGGGGCTCCCCAGTTCCAGAGAGA